GGGGGAGGGGAGCATGACATTTGTGTGTCTATAAAAACTTCCCATTAAGGGTAAAGTGAGTAAAATAAAAAGTTTAAAGTTAAATTGTTTCCAAATATAAAAATATATTATTCTTTTTAGAACGGATTAATAAGAAAAGTGTGTAATTTAAATTAAAACGAAGAGAGTACAAGTTTGGAATGTCAAACTCAAGTTGTCCTCTTTTGCAAATCAATGATTTGTGAAAACACCCCAATTTGAATTAACAAAAAAACAAAAAAACTAAGACAAGATTTGTGTGGATTTCCAAGAATATGTCAATTCATTTAGTTACATATTATCACAACATTTGTAAACATATGTTTGGGTTTTACTATTAAATGCAAGATTATCCAATCATTTAATTTACATATTATCGTGATATATGCAAATATATGTTTGAGTTTTGCTATTAAATGCAAGAATATCCAACCATTTAGTTTCGCTATTAGGGGGGGGGGNTATCATGTTTTGCTTGGTCTTGGTGCTTACTCTCTGCTTATCTGTTTACAGCAAAAGGCTAACATTCATAGTTATAAGCTCACCAAAAGGAAGTGGAAATAATGGAGATCATGAATTCCCAAAATTTTCAATTCTCCCTGAAGGTCCAGTGCCCCCTTCTGGCCCTTCGACTCGGCTTTCGCCTCCACCACTTTCACCGGCTCATACTATATAGAGCCGATATTTTTCGGGCTGTCATTTTTTTTAACTTATTAAAGTCTGAACTTAGTATGCTAAGTTTATTTTGTGAAATTAAAATATCAATTTATGATTGATCATGAACTTTTGTTATTTTTTATTTACCTAAGAATATTCAGGCGCTGCGATGGAATAACTCTTTTGTGCAAGGGAAAACAATACAGTAACACAATATTTAGCTACAAGTTTTATTTGGAAATTGATGTTTTAAACTCCAATACCACACAAGAGGAGGGGTGATGATTTATGTGGTGTCCAATTTTTCGCGTGCACAGATTATAGAAGGACCTAGTTCTTCTATATGTTTCTTATACTACTATTGCGGAATAATAAGTGCAGAAAGTAAAAAACACAAGTATTTTCATGTGAAAAATATCTGGCTCAAAAGGTGAAAAAATTATGACCTACTACCTAGTAGAATTTTTTCCAACACTGCACTAAGCTAGCGTTTGGCCATAGATTCCCAAATTTGTTTTGAAAAATCTGATTTGGGTGAAGTTTGGGTTGAGGATGAAAATGTGTTTGGACGTGATTTTTCAAAACATATTTCACATTTATTTGAAAAAACATGAAACATGACTTATACCCACAAGTTTTAAAAACTATCACAAATACCCAATAGTACCAAACAAATAAACTTGCTATCTTGTATATACAGAACCTTCATCAATACCATTCATTATCATTATCACAAATTATAGTCCTGAACATAAATAAGTTTGGTACAAAATTATTATTTTTATAATGAACTATATAATAAACTATCCTAAAATCATAACCTGATATTTTAATATTAACTGGTAATAACAAACACAATTACTAGCTGTTACAATTAGTCAAATTGCAATAATATTACAAGATCCATCAGTCCCAAAAAAATGATCGTAACTAGCTATTCTGTAATATAATTTTCCCACATTATACAAACAATCTCTTCACGACGAGCATGCATTTCCCTATCAGATGACCGAAAAGACGAAGTAGTATTGCTACTTTGAGTCGATTGTTGTTCAGTTTCATCAACATCCGTATCATCATGTTCATATTCGGTGAATATTCCATCGCCACTTTGAAGTTCACGCAAAAAATTATGTAATACAGCACAAGCAATTACTATTTTCACCTGCGTGTTGAAGTCATAGTTGTTCATGCCTTGTCGTAGTATTCTGAATCTACTTTTCCATGCTCCAAATGTTCTTTCAATTACATTGCGCAGAGAGGCATGTCTATAGTTAACTAGCTCTTTGCCGTTCTTAGGCTCTCTGTCACTCCCTCTATAGTCCTGCAAATGATAGAGCGTTCCTTTGTATGGTGCTAGAAATCCTTTCGTGTTCCGAAGACCAGCGTCGACAACATAATATTTATCTATCAAAATGAAATAAACGCAATTCAACAAAATAGTAATAACATAAATGATACTAATTATTCAAATGTTGTACTTATATACCGTGTGGTTGAAATGAAAATTTTGCCAATGGGTCAAGAATTGCATTCTCAAGCACTTTACTATTATGGGCAGTACCCTCCCAGCCAGCTGCAACAAAGGTGAACCTCATATCAAAATCACATGCACACAAAATATTTTGCAAAGTATTTCCTTTGCGGTTACAGTATGCCTGTTGTTTATTTCTTTAGATCTCCCCTTGAATATATGTTCCATCGATTGCACCAATACAATCCTACCAAAGCCAAATATATAAATCATTAATTATAGTAAAATCCGTTTAAAGAATTACGACTCCTAATTAAAAAGAAAAAGTTAACTGACTCCATTACTGGAACACGTGTGATTCTACCCTTAGATGACAACAAATTGTTTTGTCTTATCACTTCGATAAGCCGATGAAATGTTTCAGGATAAAAACGCATAGATTCATACATACGCATGCGATGTCCCCAAAGAAGCTCAACTACCCATGCCATACCAGGCCTAGATGTATGTTGCGGTTGGAGAGATAATAACCTATTTTCTCGTGCGACTTGTTCAGCATGATCAGCGATAGCACAACACATGATATAATTCTCAATATCACTGTCTGAATCAGTGGAGTCACTACTGGATATGCTCATAGTTTTTCAATTAAAAAGATATACAAAAGACAAGGTAATCAGTAAGAAAATGATAACACATAGGAAGTCATTACTCAGATTACACATAGGAAGTCATCTCTCCGATTACATAACACATAGGAAGTCATTACTCAGATTACACATAGGAAGTCATTACTCATATTACAGTCATGCCTACACCACAACGTACAACTAAAATAATTAGCATCAGCGTTTCATGCATTAGAGTACAACATAACAAAATAAAAATAACAGTTAGCTCAATTTTTCTTTAAGTCGTTAAACCATTCAACTTGATTTTTTTCGGTCATATGAATGAATATCTTGCGAAAGTTGGGGTTAAGCAAGAAAGGCATTGCTGGTGAAAAATTTTCGTCAGCTAAATCATGTTTTTGCAAGACAAATTGCAAGTGGGTAGTCACAGCTTCCTCAGAGTAGATATCAATCTCAGTTTCTTTCGAGAGCAGATACAAAGAAAANGGACGCTTGTATCTGCTCTTGTTCTTGCTTCTTTCTTTCTTTTGCTTCCTCTTTGTTTCTCTTCCACTCCAAGTGCTCCTTAAAATAATCATATGAGTAGGTTGCGGCTATAGCACGACTTTTTTTGCGACGTGTAGGTGTTCCACCCTCTGTCTGCATAGACATATAACACACAGTTCACTTTCCACTAACAGTATCACTACCGGTATTCACAGACATAGGACAACATATATTTTCAGTACCAGCAGGGTAGTCGTCACAATCAGAAGGTTCATTCTCCACGGCAATAGCTTCATTTGATTGTTGTGAAAAATTAGGATTTGTGATATACATAACATGGTTTCCGTGGCAAATGAATTCCCAAATATCTCATCTTGTAAGTCAAAATCTTTAAGCCCTTGGTATCTATACTTGGAAATATATGCATTCTTCTCTTTCTTTTGCTGTAAATTATTTTTGAAATAGAATGTTAGTTCAATATGCATAAAGGTAGAACCTATGTAACTTTTTCAGTCTCCCAAAATTACCTTCACATGATTCGCCCAAATGTCAGATGGACAGGTAACTGTGTTAGTTATAGGGTCCCATCAGTACACAGAGCAAGAATTAAGGAGCTCCTTGAAGGTTTTTGTGTCTCTCTTTAATCTTCCAACCTTGGATTTAATTTGCTCATTGTCAAACCTATCCACATTTCCAATTTTCATCAGAAACTCATCCTTAATTTTTGTCCAACGTGGACCACTGATGGTAGAACCATTAAACCCGTGCTATCCAAAACTTTAAAAGCTCATACAAATCAAGCTGAATGATACAAAAAAAATAAAGCATAAAGATGCTATACAAAAGGGAAAGAAATTATTTTTTTGAGTTGCGTCTGCTTCCCAATATCCAAATTGCATAACGGCATAAGCATCTCGGCTGAAAAGAGTAACTTTTCCAGCCAACACAAGACCACAGTTTCAACCAAAGACAACCGGAAAAAAAAAGAAAAAAAGAGAGATAGCCATTTATCGTCATCACAAGCAAAGATTAGTCAATGTAGGAGATGAGAGACCTCATATACATGGGAGGGTTTACAAATCTGAAAAAACTCATACAAATCAAGCAAAGCAAATCTGAAGAAAATTCATAGAGAACTAGCGAAACAAATCCGAAGAAATTTATACAAATCTGCAGAAAATTTAAACAAGTATTAGCAGATTTTACCAAATTACCTTCAAATTTCGTCTTTGCTGTGGATTGCAATCGATTGGCACGGATAATTTGCGGTGGAGTTCTATTATGTTTATAGAGGGCAAAGCAAACACGTGAGTTTAATGAGTGGCAAGTGAGCATATATGGTTTAGTTGGTCGCAATAAATGTGGGCTCTTTTACAAACTATAAAAGTATGGGGTAATATTTAAAAATTTTAAAAAATATAATGGTCATGTTTTGGCCCAAAATCAGCAATTGAGGTGATTTTGGAATTTGAGATTTGGGATTTTTCCAAAATGTGGGCAAAATCTATGGCCAAATATGTGTTTGCCAAATAAATCCCAAATTTATTTTGGCAAAACTGATGGCCAAACGGGTCCTAAATCACTGAGCCAAAAATAACATTTACAAGACTCTTTATAAACCTAAGGATTACCTCTAATCCTTTGCGGCAACCAGCCGCTAGCTGTTGCGACAACTTCAAGTTAACTCTAACTTGAATACTACACTCAAAGTACCTAGTACAATTGCTTCTAGATAAAGCTGAAAGGTACAACTCAAAAGCTCTACTATAATGAAACTAGAATAAAAGTTAGACACTTGGAACTGGTTCTTCTATCTGGTTCATGTAGTTTCAGGTTCGCACACTTGAATCACACAGGAATTGCTTGCAAAATGCCTTGTTATTTTGCTCTCAACTCACGTAACTTCAGTGTTTGTGCGTACCTATAAAATGAGAACATCCTGAAATATATAGAGTTAGTAGAATAGGAAATAACTAGAAGTCTAATGCTTTACTCTTCCTTGGTGGAAGAGTTCTAGTTATCTTCAACTTCTAACTCCTCCATTATCTAGGATAGAGTTCTCTTCGAGTAAGGAGTCCTTCTTTCTATCACTTATGCAACATTTTCGTTCAATAGATATTAGATATAACCACTTAAGCTTATCTCTTTCTCGTGCATGCCTTGTGCTCGAATTTGCCCGTGTCTGTGTACACTGTGTATGGACCTGGTTCATGCTTGAATTTCTTTGTCAATCATCAAAACAAACTTCATTTAGTTCAACAAATTCCCCCCTTTTGATGATGACAAACTCTGTGCTTTTCATAAGCACAAGACCTATTTCAATAACTCAGCTCAACATTAATACTATGTTAGAATACTTTCTATTTTAAAGTCACAAATCATCAAGGTCCAGGTTCGTTAGGTTATAAACATCACAGTCCAAAGTAAAAAGCACAACATATCTTCCCCCTTTGACATTATCGAAATGTTGCATAATTATGTCAGATAACCAGATTTTAAGAGATATCACTCATGGCCACTGGGGCTACTTCAAATGTAATCATGGAGTCAAACATCATTTATCAATCTAATGATATTAGCTATCTAAGAAGTATCAACAAATAGTTAGAGCACAAAATGAGTTGATTATCACTAATACTAGTCATTCACAAGGTATAAAGAAAAATAAAGGTGCTCGATCATGAGCAAAGAGAATAAAAAAATCACATCCTAGTCATTGGTTTGTCTAACTAGGCTAGGAAGATTTCAAGGCTGGGAAGGACCAGGTTCTTGGTTTCTGGCCTTAAGAAGCTTCAAAATATCATGAAGAATGCCTTCATTCTTCTCCTTCTCCTTTGCAAGCTCAGCCATGAGAGCATCCCTCTCAGTTTCTACTTCAGCCAGCCTCTTCTTCATCCTCTCAATTTCAGCATCCTTAGCCCCACTCTCTTGCACCAAGGCTCTCACTTTGCTGTTCACATGCACCTTCTTGGATGAACCAGGTTCTTTGGGAGCAGTGTGGACTTCATAGTCACATGCATTCAAAGTGTTGGCCCCAAACTGATCTTTGCTTGTACTAACATCTCATTTCTTGAGGGGTACCTTGAAGTGAGCGAGCACAACGGTGAAAATGAAACCATAGGGTATGTCATGAGTTTTGGTACCAGTTAGAATCCTATCAAGAAGATGGATGATAAACTAAGGCTAATTGATCTGCCTCCTACTATCCAGGCATTCCATAAGGTTCAGGTCTATGAAGGTAGAAATGTGCCTTCTTTTCTGCCCGGGCAACACGACCTTGTTAACAAATTCAAACAACACATTGTGGGCATGCCTCATCTCACTTTTGTAAATAGCCTTGGGCTGAAGCTCTTCCTCATTGTCAGCAACCTTTCTCGTAATGGCAAGTGAGGTGGGGAGGTTTTCTAGGCTTGGCTATTTTAACTTTTTATAATCATTGTACCCTTCAATAGGTACTCCTAGAATCTCTCCTAATTAATTGTCATCAAAGATCACAGTCACCCCCTTCACCATACTGGTGACTCTGCCATTTTTGATCTCACAATTTGCTATGAACTCCACAGTCTCAATTCTGGCAAGCTTTCCATCCATCTGAAGGACCATGTCCTTCCAACCCTACAATTGTATTTTTTTCCAGCTGCATTACTATGCCTTCCTCCTCTAAGTCCCTGATGAGTCTACCCTTCAATATGGTTCTTTTCTCAAACTTGACCAACTTGTCCTGCTCTTCATCAGATTCCTCTTCTTTTTCACTTTCCTCTTCCTCCACTATTTGCACTTTCCTAGACTTTCTTACAGACCTGGTTCTTTTTGTCAAGGTAGAAGCCTTTGCATCAGTAGTGTTTGAAGGTGACTTTTTCTTCTTGGAAGTCTTTCTTTTCTTTGTCTTTGGAGCCACAGCCTCCACCTCCTCTGCTGTGACTTCATCACGAAGAATCAGGTCCATCTCCTCAGTGTCAATTGCCTCAACAGGCTCACTCACTTTCTTCTTTCCCATTGCAACAACTTTTCTTTTACTCTATTCTAGGGCTCTTTCCAGTTCAGTATCACTTTGCTACTTTTGACTCCTTGTAGCTCTTCCTCTTGTAGGAAGAGTCTTTACAGGGATAGAAGAGACAACCTTTCTCTTCTTGTTTGCCCTAGCAGCTCCAGGGATTTTAATTCCTGAACACTTCTTCTTTTTCGGATTGTAGCTGTCAGACACTCGTTTTAGTAGGTCTTCGAGGGTTCCTGCACAGATGGAACAGATTCTTGGAACCTTTTCTTCGACCTAACCATCCCCTCAGTAGCACTTGCATCTCCAGACACACTACCCCATCCTTTTCTCAAATTTTCTTCAGCAACATCCTTACTCCATAACACCATAGCTCCAGTCTCCTCAGTGTGGACTCTCCTTGGGTGAAACTGGTTCTGTTGATACGGATAAGCTTGAGGGAGGTTAGGATTAAATGAGACTCTCATTTTGATCATGATCCAAATACAATTATTTCAAATATGATCCAAATACAATAGAATTCTCTTGTGCAAGTATGAATTTTTTAAGAAAATAAAGATAATATCATTAGAGATTAATGAGACATTTTAGCACATGGCATAAGAGTATAGTAGTAAAAGTATGAGACTGAGCAAAATCTAATCTAATTATGTACAAAATTCACAAATTGTCTAACCAATTTTTGAGTTAGAACTGGTTCCTTTTAGGTGATCTTAATCATTCCTAATTATAACATGTTCCTTTCAAAATGATCTCTACTTAGATCTTTTGTGAAGATGTCAGCTATTTGCTTGTCAGTAGCACACAATTTCACAGTGACCAATCCTTTTTCATAGTTGTCCCTCAAAAAGTAATGCCTAGTATCTATGTGCTTTATTTTTTTATGATGAACCGGGTTCTTGGTCATACTAATTACACTATTGTTATCACAAATTATGGGGATACAACCTACATCAATTCCAAAGTCCATTAGTTGGTATTGATCCACAACAATTGAGCACAACTAGGGCAGCAACAACATACTCAGCTTTAATAATAGACAAAGCTATATGATTTTGCTTTTTGTTGGCCCAAGACACAAGACATGAGCCAAGAAAGTGTCCTATACCTGAGGTGCTCTTTCTATCCACAAGAAAACCTGCATAATCAACATCAACATATCCCACTAAGTTGACATTACTACCATTTGGATACCATATACAAAGATCAGTGGTGCCTTTTAGGTATCTTAAGATTCTCTTGACAACAGTCAAGTGAGACTCCTTTTTTGCCTGAAATCTAGCACAAAGGCTGTCATGACCCAAAACTAACCCCTGTCGTGATGGCGCCTATCGTGGAACTAGGCAAGCCGACTCATTTCCAAAACAAAATGATATTTTCATTTCAAAGATAATTTTAAGGTTATTTAACATAAAACCTCCATTTAAAGAGTTCAAATCAA